TGTGCGTATGTGTGTGTGTGTGTGTCTGTGTGTGTGTGCATGTGTGTGTGCGTGTGCGTGTCTGTGTGTGTTTGTGTGTGTGTGTGTGCATTTGTGTGTGCGTGTGCGTGTCTGTGTGTGTTTCTGTGTGTGTGTGTGTGTGTGTGTGTGTGTGTGTGTGTCGTTACAAGTTTAGAAACTGAAGGTTTCAATTCTATGCTGCCTCCTATCAGCTTTCCTTGGTACAGCAGCGGAACATCCGGCATTTCTATCCTCTGTTCTGAACATGAACTGTTCCTGATTTTGATATTCATGTTACCAAGAACATTATTTAGACAGCAAGGAAAATATACTTTAACTGACTTTTACCAGCGACATTGCCTAGCGTGCTCGTTCAAGGATTAAAAAAACCGTACCTTGATGTAGCCATTGTTTTCTCGTGGTTTCCAGACTATGTCTATCCACCCATGCTTCAGAGTTTTCTCCTTATATGGTACCGCAAAGCGCCGGGAACGAAATTGATTCATCAGCGCCTGAGGGATCTTCCAGGAAAAACGTTATCTCATGTTGTGACGAGGATGAAGCGTAGATAATTCTGGTACATTAGCAGAAAATGATACGGACTGTGAGAGACAAGCGCTAAAAAGAAGTCATGAATCACGTCTATCTGTTCCTAGTTGCTTTGTACAACCATTAAACCGCCTCGAGATGTAATATACCAGTTTTACAGTGAGCTCGAGCTGCGTAAGATCCAAACTGTGTAAAGCTCCGGTCACAACGTGCTTTTTGTCCGTACGTTTTATGGAAGGCTACGTCTGCTACGTTTGTTCTAAAAACGTGGGGAAGGCATCTACGCACGTCGCTCGCACGTCACTCGCACGGTTGCGCAAAGTGTGGTCTGCACGCCACGTCTGGCCGTGAGCGGTTGCGTGCATCGTACGTTGCGCAAGTGGTAAGTGAGTTGTACGTGCTTACAACGTACGATCTCTGTGCGATTGCAACTTTACCGTAAGGAGGCCGTACTCTCCCGTGCGTCTTTCGTACGGTACATACGGGGCACGCGCGTCGCTCTTACTCCCACGCACGGGTGGTGAATCCGTAGACCGCACGCAGAAAACGTTTTACATGCACTTAAAGTTCTACGGTGTGTCTGCGTGCTCCCAAATCCGTAGGATTCCGTACGGAGGTGGTACTCACCACGCACGGATGCCCTGCGTTTTTGCACGTAGACAGCACGCAGAAGCACGTACGGCGGGTTGTGACTGAAGCTTAAGATCAAACCTGTGTAAGGTTTTATCCACGCAACACAGGGAAGGACCCTAGTCTGTTCAATATGTGCGGTGGGTAATTTTCGAGCTGTGGCCCTCCTTGAACATGTGACCTTTCGGCCTTACTTCCCATCCGGGAGAACGTCCCTAATTCAAGCTTGGTACTCATTTTAACTTGAGTGGAGTGAGGGGTGTATAATTAGCTGTAAAGTGTCTTTCCCAAGAGCACAACTCATTAGCTCTTGTCAGTGATTCGAGCATTCGAGTATGTTCTTTAGTCAACTACCCTAACAACACGGCCATCTTGCCATCTTGCTGTATACAAATAAACAAGATGACGTCATGTCTTGAGGTCACGAATTTGCAACGAAATTCAGAACCCCATACCGAGTTCACGTTACAGATGTCAGGTTCCGTCCAATTGAATGTTAGCTATCTACGTTTTCATCCTTTGGGATTACTTTTTAATCACAAAAACCAATCTAGCAGCGACGTAAAATGTGATATCTAAACATCAACTTTATTACTTCTTGGGATATCAACTGTGGATGTGTATGATATGAGAGCCCGGCTTAGATTGGTTGTCAGATGGGGATAATAAGAGCGGAATTGGCTGGAGAGGCAGCGGGAGTGGGCGGCTGCCGCAGACATGCTGGTGCCGCTCCGGTAGATGCGGGGTGGACGCCCGTGTCTTCAACCGGAGCAGATCAAAGCAAGGACTGTAAGATTCATCGCATGCAAATTTTCGTGGGATTCTAGGGATGATTCTGAATATTTTTCCTCCAGACCATTTTTTGAATCTATAGAAATTGCGTTAAAGCTTTTTAATAGTTTACAGTTTCAGTTTGTGACATAATTATATCCACGTTTGTCGCCATTATATGCCGAAACAGAGGGATTGTTTTGCGTGCGTTTGTCTGTGTGTTTGCTCGTGTTTTATGCCGTATGTAAATAAAGCAAAATGGCAAGAAGGGGCGGTTACTACAGATTGATTTTAAGATCAAGTTGGATGGAGACAATGGCTGGTAGGTTGGGAGATACACATCAAGGACTAAACTGTTGAAGTTAAGGTAAAGTAAGAATCAGAATTTTTTTGTTGACTTCAACTGAGGGGTTCGCCCCTTTTACGTCTTGAAGTCAACGAAAAAATTCTGATTCTTACTCAAACCTTTATATTTAATACCCAACGATTTACAGTTGCCTAATGATTTGTATTGCCGTTACTCTTGTATATACGAACGCTCATTTGTTGTTTTGTCATTGTCATACCTGTATTTTGAATTCTATGTCAGTGGTGTGATTAATATTAGCTTCGGCTAGAGTTTCCACCTCTGTGTCTTGTACCATGTCTTGTACTTTGTTGTTTTAATAAATAAATAAAAACTGTTTAAGTTCCTGTCCTACCAGACACGTTGAAAGCTCGTCAGATCATCTGTTTTGTTGTGCAAATGATATCTCAAAAGCTGTAAATACTTCCAGGATGTTTGATATCTCTGAATTCTTCATTGTCTTGTGTTAATCGTGGGTCATGCATACGATAAATGTGTGGTGTCTTGTCAGTGACCTGTAGTCCGTCCTAACAACTAAACTTATGTGGTCCATTCCGATTTCAGCGCCTAGACCGTAGAGTAGTGGAAGGTACCCAGTAAAATGACACGCGCCTACGCCTTAGTCTCCAACGTAGGCAACCTGGAGGAAATTATAGATGATGCTTATATAATACAGGCTATTCTTTTCATGGAACACCAACCACTGTACATTAGACAACAAGAGTATTTGTACATTGATGAAGAGAAGACTAATTGATATGTATGTTCAAACGTTCTTTCACCAATTGTCTGTAGATAACGACAAGCTATGATTTTACAAGACTCTCAAATCCGACTACTCTATGGAAAAATACCTATACCACAAAGAATTTGACGAGCGAGCTGCCATGTGTAAGATTAGAATAAGTGCGCATCCACTAGAGATAGAAAAAGGCCGTTATAGAAAACTACCTGTGCACGAGAGATTATGTAAATATTGTACAATGAATGCAGTGGAAAATGAAATACATTTTGTTAGCCAGTGTCCTCACTATGGGACCGAAAGAAACAGATTATTTCAGACAGTTACAACAATTTCTCCATCCTTTCGTCATTTAGAAGATCACCAAAAAACTGCATTTCTACTAAGATCACAAAAGCCACTAAATGTGCAGAATGTGGGACTATTCATTATCCACTGCCTTCAAAGAAGAAGTCGAACCCCATAATAGCTATTAGTAGTAGTAGAAGTAGAAGTTTTTTCCAGACAGTTGTTACCTGTCTCCTGTTACTGTATTGCAACGAGTATTATACTTGATTGTACAAGCAATTAGCCTTCGGGCATGAATTTGGAAATAAAGTTATATATAACATTGTAATCATTGCCACGTCCTACCCTGGCAGATTCTGTAGCACTGTCCTTTTGCAACTCACATCAGTCACTAAATTTGGTACAAGATTTAGTGCAAATGACCTTTTTTTTACAGCAAATCAAGCAAATTCCAAAGTAGAGACTTCTTTCCGGTACTGGAGGATTTGCACGGCCTACTGTCCTCCCCCGTGTTCCAATCTCGCCTTACATCAAAGTCATTCTGGACAGAGAAGGATCAGACAAGGCAATCCGCCTGTATTACGAGGAGAGAAAATTCTTTGAAGGGCATTGCTACCCACGCCTGGGTGTGCCGCTACAGGAGTTTTCTCCCGTGAATGAAGAGATCTCGGTTAGACAGCCGTTATGATGAAGCACCTACGGGAAGAAACCCATCGATTTCAGGAGGACTGTATGTCTCCTCCGCCCACGCGCGCCGCCGCGTTCAAGTTAGTTTGTGTTTACCGTCCACCAGAAACAAATCCACCCTCTTATGATGTGCGTTAAAAATCATCCCACAAAAATTTTGATGCATAACTTTGAATCATGAAGCTTTAGCCCAGGTAGCTTAAGCACACCGAGACTATTTCTTAACAACATCCATTTGAAAACTAGACAAGTAACATTAGCAAAGCAAATGCATAATGTTTACCTTCGGACATGTAATTCTTTGGTAATTCTTACTCCAAACATATTCATATACATTTGCTACTAGTATATGGTGAAAAGGAGTAGAGCAGACCAGGAAATTCCAATATTATGTAACCCAACACCAGTCAGACGTCAACAAATCATTGTCATTGGTCAGGTCACAGGTCACTGTTTGGAGAAGAAGAAGAGGAAGAAACTGGGCAAAAACAAGATGTTTTCCTTCGGTAAACATAATTAGTAACGTTACCTGAGAGACGGGGAAAGATGGACCGATCTAGTTGCTTCCAGAAATGTTCAGACTAGATTCAGCGCTCTCCCTTCCCTGCCTAACCCGCAGCCAACTGAAGAATTTTCGCGACGCATCAGGCTGACTGGGGTCCAAACGGATAGATATTGTTGTTAAGTGACTATTTTGATGATTTTTCTATACATATTATTTATTAGCAACCCTTGAGGCACATTTCGACATAGTTAGTGTAAACAATTAATTTCTCTCATCGCTTCTTTCAGCTGTTGAGTAATAAACTACTATTACTGCAGAACGTAGAGAAGTCAGCATTGGCCAGTGGGTAGTGTTATATGCACCCTCCAAAACACAAGACATTATACATTTGTGCCTAACAAATACGTTCACTGACATTTGCAGCGCTAAATCAGGCTATTACACTGGATTGACAATCCTTTTCTGTGTGCGTTTATTTTTAGATTCTGGGGGAAGGCACTCTGGTCGTCAGCCATTAAAGGTTGCTCCGCTGTCAGAAGGTTCGGATGACTTCAAGCAGAAAGAGCGAGTCGCCCTGCGGCAGCCTGGCACGTTCACAGGTAAGACACGTCCTAAACACGTCTTTACTAGCCTCTACCAGGCTTCACAAGCGGCTGCAAAGAGTAGAAATAGGCCAGATGGACGGAAAATAGGCCAGGAGAGCTGGTCCATTATACACTACATTTGCCGCTTAACGAATGTGATCTTCAATGGACCAACTCCCCTGGCATGTTATCTGTCTATTTAGACGCTCTTTCCAGCCTCTTCCGAAGCGTGGTGTAGGCTAAGTCGTTACACTTGCAGCTCATAAAAGTGCTAAAATCATGATTCAAAAGAACGGTCTCTTTTACACCAGATTCAAT